GCTGTTGTGTTTGAATAAGGTCTTTGCACTGTTGGATTTCCAGCTTCAWTCTTTCTATCTCCTCCTCATGAGTCTCTTGAGGAACGTCATCACTGTTTGTACTTTTACCCATCTGAGTCAAAGACACTGAAAAACCACAAAGAAAATTAGCCATGTCCAAAACAGGGTCGCAGGTGCCCATGTACAGTATAGCAGTCAAACAGTGTGAGGGGCAGGGTGGACAGATCACAAGTCCATCACAGGGACACACAGAGACAAACAAGACAAACTCACTCTCACCTAGGGACAATTTAGAGTTTCTGGTGTGTGGGAGTGCCAGGAGAAAACCCACGCACGCACAGAGAGAACATGCAAATTCTACCAAGAAAGGTCCCTGACTGGAATTCAACCCAGCAACCTTCTTGCCAGGAGACAACAGCTCTACCAACTGAGCCACCATGCTGCCCCTGTTGGTAAGATGATAGATGTATTAAAGTTACCTTGGCTGTCCAGTCTTTCGACGTGGCTTTTTAGTTTTCTCCACTGAAGGCGAATACTGTTGGCCAGTTTCTCCCGAGCGTGAACACAGTTCATCTCTACACTCTCCTGGCTGGAATCAAATATTTCTTCCTCTTCCTCCTCTGAAGCAGGCTAAAATAATAACAAAAAAATCAGTCTTTTTTTAAACATATACTGTATAAGATTATGTATCAAATGATCAATTTTTGGCAAAATCACAACAATGAAGTGAAATAAGCAAAACAACCTGCCTCACCTGTGTGTCCCCAGCTTCTGGTTTCTCTCCTTTCAGAGACAATTTTCTTGATTTCAGTATGGCTGCAATTTCTTTTTTCATCTGATGCAACACCATTTTTAGCTCCRCATTTTCCAACACAAGCTCCCTTTGTCTAAAGTCATAGTCGCTCAGAAGAGTTTTGTACATCTCCCCTTCATGTCTTAAGGCATGAAAAACAGACAACTTTATATTATTCTTTGATTTTTTTTTTAGTCCATTACAGGCTTTACATATTTTAAGCAGTTATTTCACTCATACAAATAGTAATTTATGTTATAAAAGGAAACATTTTTATTACTGATAAAACTGAAAGATGAGCTGATTCCAAAGTAAGACGAGTCCCTTTCTTATGTGTTTCTGCAGGTTTTCTTTCAAGTAATTATCATTTGAAATGCATTCTTAAAATCAAAATCCCTTTAGCCATACTAAGGTAAAATAAAAACCTAATGGGAGCAGAACTTACCTTGCCTTTGTCTTATCGGTTTTCCACAGACTCCTTTTGCCATCAGCTCTCCCCATGTTGTTTAAAACATCAATAGCTGAAATGCAGTAAAAATTAAGTGTGTATTTTTTATTTTACAACACAAACATGTGCAGACTGTAGAACTAGGTTTTTTCCTGGGTCTCTCACTGGCAGAGTGGTGGCCATCTTTGTAGTTCTTTATGTGTAGTCCCTCATTTTATGGTTATTTTAGGTGGGGTTGACCCCAAAAGTTAATCAGTTTAAGAAACTAGTTCCATTATGATTTATTGAAAGTTTCATTATGATAGTGTTATTTGTTTGTGATATATCTTGCTAACAGTAAGAATACATGAAGTGTGAATGGCCTCTGTGGCTAGAGAATGAAAACATKCACAGCCTGTGTGGAATATGAGGAGTGCATGAGTTCATCTCGGAGGAGGCAGTTAATGTTTCTTTGGTGAATCCACTTGCTGTTAGTATGGGTGATTTTCATGAGTCGTTCGTATCACTTGRTTTTTATTATCATTTATAACCAGTATTAATCTTTTGCATGAACTATTTGTTAATTCTTGTGTTTTACTTTTGCAGGTAGATAGAGACCTATTGGAGTCRTATAAGCACTCCAGTAGTTAGCTAGCACCAGTTAAATAAAAACTATAAATCATGTGATGGAGGGTCCAGAGCTTGTCCTTAAGAAGTAACGAAAAGCAGAGCTATGGGCGTTGACTGAGAGTATAATAGCTTTGGTCTACACAAACAGATTCAGACAGACGGGGCTACGGGACGCACACTGTCTCCAGGTGATTTTGGCTGTGATTTTCCTGCCGTTTTTCTGAGAGCTCTTATAAACTGTTGTGGTTGTTTTGTTTGAATATCAGGGGTCGGATTTTTAAAACTTGCGTACTCAAAACATGAGCCCAGAAACTTGTGTACACCACGTTTCACGCAAAGGTTGTGATTTATAAAATCCAAACTTGATGTGAAAATGTGCGGTGCCTCACGCCAGCTTTGACCCATGTGTACGCTCATTTTGGAGACGTGATCCAAGCAGGATTGTATCACCAATGTTTTACCCCTTAATTCTATCCAGTCGTTTGAGTACCAATCCATATTCTATTATGAGCAACGAGGCAAAACCTTTTAACAGTATCAACTAAAAATGCTTTTGATACTGAAATTTAATTGATGATGAAAACATTATCCATTTTACCTTGTTTTCGCTCCTTTTTGTCAGCCAGAAGTTGATTTAATCTCTCCTTTAGTTTGTTAAACTCTCTTTCCCTTCTTTTCATGTCGTGATTGTACTGACTGGCACGGCTTGAAATAATGTTCTGCAGTTTTTGCACCTGTTGAAACAAACAAACAAAAAATAAATAAAAAAAATTGGCACTTCCTGAAGAAAATGTATAAGGAAAATGATAAGGGCTTGGCCAAAAATTCATTCAACTGTGCTTTATGCAGCTTGGCAAAGTTAATGTAGAAAAATAAAAATGGAAGGTGGGATAATCTTTCTCAGTTTTGTAAACTGTTCGCACATATTTGCAATCCAATCCCTTGTTACAATCCAAATTAAGCTTTTCCATTAGTTCAATTTTCTGTCATTGAACAGTCACAGTTTGTGACCCAAAGTTACTTAGCATGAGAATTGGTCCAAGTTTTTCTTTTTAATAAAGCCACAGAATGATCTGCTGCTTGTTTGCCAAAAAAAACAATGCCTATTAACAAATCATTGTGCCTGGTTTTCTAGATTCACTTTATTTTTTTTTATCTGACACCTGGCACACCTGGGCTACATAACTTTGAAAATCATACCTCTTCTTTTTCATTTTTCAAGTAGTTCTGCAAACTTTTGACTTTCAGTTGAAGCTGTCGTTCTCTCTCATGAAGTCCCACGTTTTCTCTTTTAGAAAGTTCAAGCTGCTCCTGTAAAACACAAAGGAATGATCGACTGTCAAGAAAGCTTTTTATGAGAACCTAAAAAAATTATTTTATAACACGATATTAGCTTCACTAATAACAGCAAATATGCTTTTTTTTCATTTGAATACAAACTTGGTAAAATTGCTGCACTATTGAGTATAATTTAAGCAGTTTTGTAGGTCTTTAATTTTTTCTTATTCTGATACAATATTTAAACAAAAGAATCGTTAGTTTATTTACTTTTAGATGACTTGTTGTGTGCTTCAAGAAATCCACATTGCTGCTCAGCTTAAGCTGCTCCACTTCCATGTTTTCTAACRTTCTGAGGCTCCGGTGGTGCAGCTGAATCAGGTCATACATGCARTTCAACGCAGACACGTTATTCAGCTCTGAGCTGCTGTCCAGCTCTGACCAAACCGGTGGGAGGCCCAGTGATGACACCTCCTGCAAAGGAAGAACAGCGGCAATATGGTTTCTTTAGACAATAAACAAAAATACTTTTTTTTTTGGTTTTTGTAAAAGTGCATGATGGCACACTAGAAAAAAACATCAGTGATATTCAGAGATTGTGTCATGTGTACTTTAACTTCTATTCAAACATAAACTACAAAAAGGCTACGAATACAACAGAAAAGACAGAGTCCATTAACCTGATTGATGTGTGACAGACATTCTTGCACGTTATGCTCTGTGCAAAATGTCCTGAGTGTGTAGGGACTTCTGTGGAGCGGCAGCGACGGCTGGTTGAACTGCCTCAGGGGAGGTGTTCTACATTCAGAGCTGCGGCGAACGTCCTTGACTTGTGAAGAAAGAAGTATGTCCAATATCAACTCTGCATTGTCTTTTGCTGATTTAACAATTGAATAAAATTGAAAAAAGTTGAAGAAAAAAATAATGCATATTTTACACAATAACTAAGAATAATATTCATCTGTACCGGTTTTTAACACAGAGCACAAATGGAGGGAAATCTACYGGATAAATTTCAGTGCAGTAAGTTAGAACAGATGAGGTTTGCCAATAAGCCCACAACACTAGGAAAAGTAAGCAACTTTTTGGGTTCTAAAGCAGAACTTATGATAAATTTTCACTAATCTTCAAAGCAACAAAAAATTTTAACTCACCCAGTGGCATCTCTGGCATTGTTGCAGTGCAGCCTTCTAGTAATGCGTTTGGAAAGTCTACTGCATGCGCAGATTACAAGCGTTGACCACAAGATCCACCTACTCAACCCTGAAATAGACAATCAGATTAGCAGTGGCCATTCAACACTTTGCGGATTACAAGGATCATCTTGGGAGTACACACGAAGTGATGAAGATGAAAAACACAAAAAGGTGGGTAACAGAGCAGCTATAGGTTTTGTTCAAAACTAAAACATACATTATCTAGAAGACGTTTTTTTTTCCAAATCTTACGTTTCTGTTATGCTGTCAGACTAAATTATTATAACATTTAACCTGTTACAGGTCGGAACCAGGCTGCCTTTTGTTATCTCATGGCACTAATCGGCTCATCAGATCAACCTCACACAGACCATATGTTGATTTGTTTCCAGCAACACACAATCAAAATACATGGATGAAAACAAAAAATGAATGTTGTCAAGAAATTGTATGACCATTTACAAACAGAATCATTGTGTCATTCACAACCTGCACTTTATWGCAACAGTTATAGTAAAATAATCAAAATGTGCAATAAAATACACATTGTATCAACAACAGTAGTTTTATTTAATTATTGGTCGGTGGATTTTCATGTTGATTTTTTATTTTTATTTTTTTGGAGATGAATAAAGCAGTTCAGAGGACCCTACATTTTATACTTAATCTGATTAGACAGATGAAAACCCTAGAGCCAAAAAGCTTAACAAGCCTTGAACTGCGATCAGACTAGACAAGTGTTTAACCTATAATTTATTAAGCCACAGTTTACAAGTTTACAGCTTTAAAATGAGTGATGATTAAAACATTTTTAAGTTGCATATGTGTGCAGTAACTCCTCTTTGTATTTTTATTTAAGCATTCTTTATCAATTTTAATGTCACTTGAACTGCATGATGAGACTTTAAACGTATAATTATGTTTTCTTTTATTCCCAAGAGAGTGCATACAGTAACTTTATAAAGTAGCATGAAGTAACACTGCAGACCGAGCTTTAAGAGTAGGACATTTAAAAAAATTAAATAAAAAAAAACTTCTAAAGGCTCAAGCTGTTACCTTGTTTGGTTTATTTATCTACTCTGTACAGTAACGTTAAACGTCGTGTAAACATTGCTACCTTGCAAGARCTGATATATTTAAGCAACGATTTTCAAAAAAAAAAAAAGACACGCAGGTGTGAATTTACTTCGTAATTAGCGACGTTGAAATGACTACCTAACACCGCCGGTGCTAATTTCCACCGCTGAATGGCTGCCTTTTCCGGACAAGTTGGATCGTTTCAATCATGGCGATTATTTTTGGAAACAAAAATGCTTCAAATACTTACTTCACGCCACAGTTAACTAAGTATTACACAGCCGCTGCCTTCCGGCTCCGAAAGTCATGTCCACTTGCTCGCAGTAGGAGCGAAACAGCGCACAGACCAAACACAAAGCTGATTGGTCCACCCGTTGTCTAGCAACTGAATATGGTTCAATCTGATTGGCTGCTGCCTGTAAGGACCTTCAAGCGTTATTAATGCCAATAAATTTTTTAAAAATTGTTGTAGTTACACCCTCTCCTTATAAAAATGGAGATTAAATGAAACAAGTAGATTTAATAAGACCAGATTTTGTTTATATTTTTAATTGTAATTATTTAAGTCTGCAAGAATGGCATTTCTTTCATGCAAAAATATTATTATTACTGCTTTTGTTTATTCAACCACCTTCATTTCCCCCAACATCCTTAGGCGAAAAACAAGAAAAAAGCTGAAGARGGTGTGTAAAAGAGGGAGTCATATTGCAAAGCGTATGTCCCTTTGAATGATAGAGTCTGATGGATGGTTAAAGAGCAGCAGTGCAGCTGACCTCCCTTGGGGCTGAAGAGGAGCCTCTCCCCAAAGGTGGGCACCAGCCAAAAAACGGTTTTAGGTATCAGTAGAAGTGAAAATTTCAAACGAAACCATTCTATTTTCAAGAAATTTGTTTAATGTCCTTTGATTTTTCACTTTTTAGTCTTTCAAGTATTCCATTTTAATTTCTTTATGCTGCATCCAGCAGTCACTGTTATGTATGGATTTGTTTCTCTGCAATGTGAAATATTTCACAAGCATCAGCAAAAATTCTAAGTTGCGTTATAAGCTGTATAACAGTTTTAGATTTTTCACTGTCAGATTTTAACAAACTGTTGGAAGACCTACAGTACACACGTTAAATAAAAAAGACAAACTACAGGGCTTATGTGAATGTTTTAAATGGGAAATGTTTGATAGGAACATGGAAAACGAATCAATGTGGCTCCTGCATATTTGAGCCATCAGAAGTTAAATTTTGTTTCTTTCTGAAAATTATTTTAATTCCATTTTGTACAATAATTATGCCTTTTGCTGAGGGTGAAATCTCAAAATGCACTGACATTCTTTGAGAAAGAAAATTATGGCAATTTAAAAATATGTGCGCACAAGTGTACATGTGTTGTCACAACCCATGTTTGAGGAAAACAGCAAACTGTGAATTTTTTTTATCGAATCTAGGAAAAAATTAAGTTGCTGATGAGCAGCACTTGGTTGTTTGTTGCTTATGTAGTTTGTGTTATTTACACTGACGAGTAACCTGAAAGGATGAAATAAAGTCCAAAAGTAAATATTTACTTTGATAAACTCTTTCTGCTGCTACAACCTTGTGCTATAACATTACCACCAATTCCGTTTATTTCTATAAAACCAAGTCACTTGGGACACTGTGCAAAAAGCAATCAATCTTTATTGGCAATTGGCATTTATTATGTTAGAACATAGAATTAGAGAAGACAACTCTATTAAAAAAAACAAATAATAATGAGAATTAATGAAAAAAACACAAAGATAGCCAACCTTTGGCACAACAAGTTGCTAAAGAAAAAAAAAGTATTTTACTTTGTGTGTGGACTTCAACATTTGTTTAATCTCAGTGTTTTTGTACTTAATTATTTATGTTTAAGTCAAATGTTCACGCCAAGTACTGAAATAAAAAAAACTTAAAGCAGATGTGACTGGAGGTGCTTTTGATCTCTGCTTCTGGAAAGAGCATGTTTTCTTTTTCCACTAGATAGCAGTAAAGGCATCTGAATGGATCATTAGTACAGCCCCAAAATTTTGCTGATCAAATAGTACTTCTGTGATTCTTCTTGTAAGCATATTGATAACCTAAATTATTTTTTCGTTTTGTTAGTTCAGGCTCTCTTCCTGCAGGTTTTAAATTCAGCTGCTCAATAAATATTTATTAAGTTCAGACAACACTTGTTTATAATACAAAAAGTAAGGAAATATGTGTTTTGTAGGTTATTTCTTTGTTGTAACAATGCTCCTTGACAATAAATCTTATCGTTGAAAAGCTTTTAATTTCCCTTTTAAATGGTGCCGCATTTGTAAGGAAGATGCATTTGTGGGATGAGCAGCAGAGCTGAGTATGTGGGTTGCACATGAAAATTTGGCCAAATCTTCTCTGCCAAACAGCTTGTTTTGAGCTTCTGGTACCCAAAGTGCTGCCATTCAGGTGCCTGATTTAAGATTTAATGCTGAAAAAGAATTGTTTCAACAAAGAAGCAATCTGTTATTTTTGTATTTATATTTTGTTGATAATGTCTGCTGGTGCTGTGAATCTGTAACTTTCTTAAAGGATCAATAAAGTACCCATCCATCCAWGTGCATTCTTCACCTGCTTGTGACTTTGAGAGACAAGTATTCAGTCTTATAGGCTTGTAGACAAGTAATGTGTTAAATTTTATTATTTTTACAATTATCTGCACAACTTAACTCTCTCATCACACACAAAAACAAAATTGCACCCTGTCTCACAGTCACTTTAAATGAGGTGAATACTATATGCACTGTTTTTGTCCATTTGAGAGACTTCGACATGCTTTCTGATCAGGACTGAGCAGTGGCGGCTCTAGGATTTTTCTGAGTAAGGGGCCATAATGGTGCGTTCACACCGAACGCGATTTCAGCTTCAAAATCGCAGCCAACGCTGAAGTTTGAAGCTTGTGCACTTTGAGGTCAGACGCAGGACAGCTGCGCTGCATGGCGACAGCCGCCCCACCCCTCCCTCCTCTGTCGGGCTGTTTAATGTCGGACGAGGAAGTGGCTTTGCTTTATTTACAGAGAGCCAGAGCGTGTCACGCTCATCAGATAATTAATTCATAATTAATTCACCAGATAATTCAGAGAAGAGGCTCACAGCTCGCTTTCAGGACTACTTTTTTCAGTCTGATGAGTCGCTGCCACGCATTGCTGCGGATCAGGACACGACTGCAGCACTCATTTCAGCTAAAGAGCAGGAGCTCTGTCTGTTTCAGGTTAGTGGACATCATTCAGTAAACTGTCCCGTCGGGAAATATGTCACTACGTCACACAGTGGAGTCTCTCTGATTGGTTGACGCTGCGCGTCGAGCTGCAAAAGTTCAGATTTTCTAACTTCAGCGATTTGGACGATTTGGACGATCTGAGCGTTCGACGCTCAGATCGTCCAAATCGTTCAAATCGCGCTGCTCTAATCGCGCTTGAGGCGCCGCAGAACTTCCCGACGTTGCTTGAAGCGCGTCCACCATAGACTTTGTATGTAAACCTGCTGCTCCTGACGCTGAAATCGCATTTGGTGTGAACGCACCATAATATTCGGCCAAGTCTTTGTTCAACATCCTTTCACATAAGGTACCACTTTACAATAAGGCTCCCCTTATAGATGGCTTTTAAAGAGTTTTAAGTTATTAATTCATCTGTAATTAATTCATCTGTAGACACCTTATAAATTACTGTGTTTATTGTGCATTAATTAAAGGTAAAAAAAAAAAAAGAAACTATCCGGTTTCTTTCCAAACACTGAGCCAAATCTGTTTGGGTATTAAACTGTTAAGTGTAAACTCRGATGTCGAAGGTAAGTGGCTCAAATAACAGACTCAGGTAATGAATTAAYTATATTTATTTACAGTGCCCAAAACCCAGGAAGTAACTCGGGATCGCCAGTGACTGGAGAGGAGTCAGCTTAATTTCTAGGCGAGTTTCACAGCAATGAAGATTTTGATGATGACGATGATGCAGTAGAAAGCAGGGAACTTACTGATTCCCTTGGTGATTGATATGCAAGGCGTTGCAGGCTGTTCAGTGAGCACCAGGTGAGTATTTACAGGTGAATGGTGAAGGTATTTACAGTGGAAGTCTTCCTCGAGGATTTGCCAAGAGATGAACCAGAGAGGAGTCGAACAGAAGACTTGGAACCCAGACCAGGACCAGAGGTGAGTAGAGGTGATCTGGAGGTGAGGACTAATCAAAGGGTAAGTTTCCACAGGAACGAAGCCACAAGGAGCCAGGAGGTAAGTGGTGGAGCTGGGTCTCAACAGCTGCAAAGATTCAGAGGGCAGAACTTTTAAAGGATTTACTCAGGAGTACTTACATAAAACCAGAAAGCGAGTCCTACCAGTCAACTCTTTGTTCCTGTGTCTGCCTGTTTTGCAGCTCCTCCTTAAATACTGAACCTCCTGGCATGAAAATTGGCTCCTCCCGTGGAGAGTGATTAGTGCCAAACAGAGACAGGAGTGATAGAGGTCTAAACCTCTACATAAACATTTCAGACTAGTTTACCTTGTAAGCACAATAATGATTAGGAAACTCATATTTTAACATTGTACAGTATTACTGCATCATAAATATCCACAAGTATAAAGGGATCCTTATTGTAAAGTGTAAAACTGTACACTATTTTGGATGGGGTGGGATTATTTGGTATGTTAACATGACATTTTTTTAACTTTTATGATACATCATCGTTGTTGACAGTGTAGTTACCGTACTTGACTCATTAGCGCAACTAGTGTTTGAACATGGAACTGCATCCACCAAGATCACTCCCAGGTAGACAGATGAGTGACAGGACGGGCACTTCTAGGGGCCAATCAGATTTCAGCTGGGGCCAGTGCCCCTGTCGCCCTGCCCCTAGAACCATCCCTGGGACTGAGTATATTTCCCATCTGCGCCTTGAGCGTAGATGTGGAGGAGTTCCTGTTAAAGAGCATTGCCAGTTACATTGCAAAAATCTAAAGGAAACAGAAGTATATATTACGCTGTCACGTCCTCTAAGGAGTTAAGAAGTTGTGGTCTCAATAAGCATGTCGCATGAGGGGGAAGTTACTGAAGTACTATTATAGAAGGATTGCGCATCAAAACCCAGGCCTTCCATAGTAATAAAAATCTAAGTAGTGTTTAAATAAATGCTTATTTTAAGTCATTCAAGCAAACCAAGATATTCACTACTGATGGCATATTTTATTTAGCTACTTCACTTCCAATAAATTCTGACAAATTAACCTAACATCTTTAAAGTTTACATTTTTTGGAGGCTGTGGCCCAGTYGTTCAATGCAGGCAGAGGTCTACAAAGTACTTGAAAAAAAT